ATAAAATCGATTTGTTATTAAAAATTATTAATACCTAGTAGTTTTTTTTTATAAATTTTAAAAGTTCCGGCCTTCGCAATGATTTCTTTTCGCCAGCTCTGATCTCATAACATTTTTTTACCTATTATCACTTCTGCTATCCAGCCAGCTCACCCAACAAACGTTGCACCATTTATTATTATTATTTAATACTTACAGTTAATATTTAATATTTTAACATTTCATTTGATCTCGATATTATATACTACTCATATTTACTTCATTCAGATAAAAAAAAGTGGTATTCTTGCTTACAGTTTTTAAAGAGTTTTTTTTTATTAGGTACTACTTAATTCGAAACTAATATGGTAACGACAAGATCACGTGCAATTACTATAATTGAGGTGTTGTTTATTTGTTAACCCTGGACGATAAGGTCTCCCTCCTCTTGCCTTTAAACCGATCTAGATCTCATTAACTTAGTTTTTCGCCAATTCAGTAAACAGGCTAAACAATACACCAATGAAGTTCACTATAGTGCATAATTAACAAATAAGTATACTGATTTAGCTTTTTCAACACTCGACAATTTCGAATTTCGACCATTCAACGGGTAAGAGAGAGAAGAATCTCCGAGAGAAGCTGTTGATAATAAGTATGCAGAGGAGAATTTAGGCTGCGATTACACGTGTGTTCAGAATACAGTTGCGGATTGCGGAATCTGTCAAAGAATGTTCTCCCACTACGACCACTCAACAACCAATGAGAGTAACGGGATTCGGTACCAAAAGTTAAACAATTTTTATACCATTGGTATTTTTTTATTACGAGATCGAAATTTTGCTGATAACGTATATGACCATGAAGTGTGAGAAATTAATTAAAAGCGTCTGCGCTTTTACGTATATTCCACTTAATTGTGGGAACTTAATTGATTTACACTGGAATTATACTTTACGAAATTTTTACAACAGTTTGAGGAAATACTTCTAATTGTTAAATTTGAAAATAAATTAGGGATTCTAATTGTTTTTTGAAATCTCGCATATTAGTTGAAATAAACAATTTTTTTTGCCCGTTCGATCGGATGTGCAGGCGGTATGCATCTTTATTTTGCGCCCCGTAACACCAGTGATAAACGATAATGATGCAGGCCCCAATATGTCCCATGCCTTAAAATTTTCTTCAGTACGAGTTTAACTGAGAAATTATGTGGCCCTACCAAAAGTATCAATGCTGAAATCGGTTGTTCATTACATCGTGGATGATTCTGCGTTGATCCCGAGTAGAATCTATGTTGATTCAGCGTTGATTTCAGTAGTTGACTTCAAAACAATGCTTTTTTTCATGTTAGCATTGGAATTGCAATTCTAATAAATTTTTTTTAAACCTTTCAACTTCAATACTGTCATGATCGATGTTGTTTCAACGCTAAATCAGCATTGATTCAACGTGGAATCAACATAGACTGATAATACTTTTGACAGAAGAGGGGGAACTTATTTCTTTGACGGGTTCCGCAATCCGCAACTGTATTCTGCAAATACTCCGCGGCTTTAAAGAAATATACACCCATCTATTTATATATAACTTAAAAACGGGCAGTCTGCTCTCCTCTCATCAGGATCAGTCAAAAAGGTCTCAAATTACCTTTTGCGCATAAGTAAACGTATCGCTCCTCTCCTCTTTCAAGTCATTTTTAGTCTTTTATCAATCTCGTAGTTCATCAATAAATAGGTGTATATTATATATACCTAAAATACATGCACTTAGCAGTGTCGCACAATAGTAATATTCAAAATGGCGACAACGGAGCAAGTGCCGGTCGCAAGCAACAACGAGATCCTCAATTGCGGCACGCATAACAATAAGGTAAGTTCACGAGCACATCTACTCTAGGAACCACCTCCTCGCCCAGTCAAAGTACCTCTCTCTCTCTCTACACCGTGCTCGGGGTAATTATTGAGGGACGTTGGTAGTGTTGGTACCTCGATCGAGCTTCTCGCTCCTTAGGTTTTGCTGATGTATTAATATCTAATTCCTCCTGACACATAGCCTCTCGCGGTCTCCGGACAGTCCAAAGACTCCTGGTGTAATCTGTACTCTGTAGTATCCTATACTTATCTGCTTCCCTAGCTGCTCTCTGTATTAAAAGGTTCTTGCATACACGATACATCCAATCCGGTGCACCGGTGCTTGCATTTGCATACATATAAACGGTTATACGCATACATACCTACATCAGATATAGAAGCGAGAGAACGGGTGTACCGCAAACGGAGACCGGAGACGCTCTTTTTTGGCGGGCACGTGGTGTGCTTGTTCTCGTTGCCCTTGCCCTTCTCCGCAGCCGGTTTTTCGACCTCGTCTTTACCACACGCTCGTCACTACTTCGATACGTCGCGTCGGAGAACTTTAAGTTGTCCAAACTATTAGATCCTGTCTTGTCAGATTTCGATTCCTAAGTTGAAGCACATCCCAGCACAAGTGAGTAATTGTATACTAAAGCTATGCGCATTAAAATATCCTCAGTTTTTAATTGCATGGATACTTACATCCAATAATAACTTTAAACAAAGTTCTACAGCCAAGCGGTTGATACAACCTTATTTAATAATACTATACTATTTCCTTCGAACTCGTACGTTTAAACGAAAGTGCAGAAAATTCCTTTGACGCGCGTGGATATAGGTTTTAATTTTGTTTACGATATTACCTGATTCGGCAATTATTTATTTTACCTCGCCATTCAAAAGAATCGATAAGCTTTCAAGTATCTATTATACCTTATCTCTACAATAATCGTTACTAAGTTATTGTGTTTGAAAATCCAGAGAACTTAGTGTCGAAACATAACCTTGCACTTTTTAGGTCCGCATGTGCATGTTTCATATTATATCGGAACCGGCGTCGAGACATGCTGACATTAAATATATACATATACGGATAAGTATATGTTTATTCATTCCGTGAATCCCCACCACAGTAAAGGCTAATTTTTAGAGCACTGATTTGTTTAACTATCCATTTTTGTAATAAAATTTTTGTAAAATTGTATGGTTTGGTATCGTAATTCAAGCACCTCTTTTCAAGTAATCTATTTCTCTCTTGAAATGTATTTTTGTACTTCAATATCTGCTAAATCTGCTCACTTTCAGTCAACAAGATTTATCCTCCCAATTCTCAATAGCTATTTCATTAAAATGTTATTTGCTTTCTCATCTTTTTTTTCAAACACCATTTATTGTTAAAATTAACAATAAAAAGTTTTAGATAAGAGTATTAGAAATTGTTTTTTTTTTACAACTTGTGTTGTAATTTTTTTTTAATTTTTGTAAAGCTTATTTTGTTAACTTGTGAATTGATTGTTTTGACCCACATTATTTACTTTTTTATTAAACTAATACTTATTATTCAACATGCACGATTAATTTGGTAAAATTTTTGGTATTTAGGCAGTTAAAATGGAAAGCATGGATGTTGTGGAACCAACAAATTCAGTGGGCAACTGTAAAGATGGAGTGTCACAGAACTGTAATAAAATTCCCGTTGATGAGATGACCTCGAGGGATTATTATTTTGATTCTTACGCCCATTATGGGATACACGAAGAGATGTTGAAAGATGAGGTGCGAACAGTCACTTATCGCAACTCGATGTATCACAACAAGCATCTCTTCAAAGATAAAATTGTACTAGATATCGGTTGTGGTACTGGAATTTTGTCGATGTTTGCTGCAAAGGCTGGTGCAAAAAAAGTCATTGGCATCGAGTGTTCCAATATTGTAGAATATGCAGAGAAGATAGTCGAAGCCAACAAGTTATCAAACGTCGTAACAATATTGAAAGGAAAGGTGGAGGAAGTTACCTTACCGGATGGGATTGAGAAAGTTGACATTATTATTTCTGAATGGATGGGCTACTGTTTATTCTACGAGTCAATGTTGGATACTGTGCTCTTTGCAAGAGACAAGTGGCTGCATTCAGAGGGCATGTTATTCCCTGACAAGGCAACTCTGTATGTATGTGGCATTGAAGATCGCCAGTACAAGGACGAAAAAATCAACTGGTGGGATGATGTCTATGGTTTTGACATGAGCAGCATACGAAAAGTAGCTATCAGTGAACCTCTTGTTGATGTTGTCGATCCTAAACAGGTATATTTCAATCAAGTCATTTGTACCAAATGTATTATATGGATAATAAATATGTTTTATTCACTTGATTAACAGGTTGTTACCAACTCGTGTATGATCAAAGAAGTTGATCTGTACACCGTGACCAAAGCCGATTTGGCCTTCTCGTCGCCTTTCCACTTGCAAGTGCGTAGGAACGACTACGTTCAGGCGCTTGTGACCTTTTTCAATATTGAATTCACAAAATGCCACAAGCGTATCGGCTTCAGTACAGCCCCCGAGTCTCCGTACACGCACTGGAAGCAAACAGTTTTCTACTTTGACGAGTACATGACTGTTAAGAAGGGCGAAGAAATCGAGGGCACGTTTACGATGCAGCCAAATGCGAGGAATTACCGCGATCTTGATTTTACGATCGAGATAGATTTCAAGGGTGAATTGTGTCATGTACACGAGAGTAATCATTACCGCATGCGCTGATACCAATGTATTGATGACTTAACCAACGGCGGACTCGACGAACGTTGTTCTGCGCCTTTAGTAATTTTTTATCACGCAAGCGAGAAAATAATCATTAAACGAAACAGCAGCTTGCCAGTCACATACATTATTATGTATAAATAATCTAAAACTTGATTGTCATTGCCAATTGATGCTCGAATCGAGGATTAATCGGTAATCTAATCAACGGATAGAAAAAACATTGATGAAATCGAACGCTCACGACATTATTCGTCCAAAATCGTGGTTTTCAGCAATTGCTGCCGCTGGTCGTCATCACCGTTGCCGCTATTTATATGTTGTAATTTTTTTACGTTAGAATCGTAAGTCCATAAATTTGCAGCGGTAATTTAAAAATACTTCCATTCGCAATAGAATTAATCGATGATTACCTAGTATTCTTCTGTAAACTTTGTTTCCGTGCGAAATAATTTTTTTTTCCTTAGTTGGTATCGAGAAATTGTTAATACTTCACTGAACCATTTAAAAATTAAAATATTTAAAAAATTCGTGTACATTCACAATTCTCGGAGCCGCCTGCGTATGCGCGTTACAGCATTATTAATGTAAAAAATAGGAGAAATGTAAGGAATTTCTTTTGTTAAAATTATTTTAATCATTTAAATACAAATATATTACAAACTTCAAAAATCGTTAATTTTTTTCCAATGTTGAACATACTTTAACGCTGTGGTTAAAAGAAAACCAACAAGTTGACAGTTAACTTGATTTTATCGGTTCGTAACTCGATGGAATCCAGTTGATTATGTAACAATTTAGAAAAAAAAAATTTTCTTACAAAGACTTTTGCACGGTACATGATGTACGTAAGTAACAAGAGTTTAATATATATTGTCTTTGTAAGAGTGCTGCTCTGCTGTGGAGCAGGCAGAGTTAACAAAACTTGTCAATTATGCTCCAGGTATACTGCCTATGCAAAGAATTTTTATTTCTTGCATCGAAATAAATAAAATAGTAAGTTTAAAAATTTCAATAATTAACAATGTCAATATTACACATGCATCGCAGTAACGGTACAATAATAAACTTGATATCTTTCCTACAGCATTTATAATAAAATGTTTGTTTTTATTGCTCCTTCAGAGGTTTGTTGTTATTGCGTACTAATTTACGACTGCTACGTGGCAAGTCCTCTTAATGAATTTGCTAGTTTTTGTGTTTTATAGTCTGATCTCAACTGTATGAAGGTTGAAAGAATGGTGCGATCAAGTATTGCCTGTAGAAGAAAATAGCATACATTCATCTACTGAGTTGAAAAAAATCATACATTTTAAATTCATGTGTATAAAAATTGTGAATCTCACCAGCTGATCTCCAGAGCAAACTTGTTGAAGATTTTCCGGCTTCACCAGCAAAAGGTTGCAAAGCGCGTGAAGGGTGTCAAAAAGTTGTGTAACCAAGGGCACACTGAGTTCCTTCACGCATTTCCTGTACTCATTCATGTCGCAAATGGCACACATCGCACCAGCAGAGTTGAACTGAAACTGCTGCAGATGCTCGTAGATGACGCGATGAAAGCGAATCCCGAGCTCTGTAAGAACGTTTTCGAGGCTCTTGCCATCCAATCGGTCGCGGATGTGCCTGATCATGCTTGAGACGTACTGGCACACCACGAGGCAGGGCGGCGTGTTCAGCGTGTCTACCATCTCGGTTTCGGGCTTGAAGTCTGTTTTGCGCTGCTCCGTCTGCAAGTAGACCTTGACCCAACCGACGATGGCGTTGATGCTGCGATCGAGGCCTGTGTCGATCTTCGACTCGATTTGTTCAAGTGCGAATTTCTTTTTTGCCAAGCAGTCGGCGTGCTTGGGTGTTGATCTGGAACAAATTTTACAAGTTATTTGGATCGTCTATAAGGAATAAATCATTAAAGAAAAAACTAATGTATCTACAAGTGTGACTGATCAACTCGTCACTAATGTACTTACAAAATAAGAGGAAGCAAATCGCCACTGAATTGTTCCTCTAATAATCGAATAATAACATTACACTGCCTGACGACGGTAAAGAAATGGATTTCGGGTTGAGTTCGACTCTCGGGTATCGGAACGCATTGAAGTCCAAGTTCAAGCGCATAATCGATATGCTCGTTGATCAGATACTGCAACGTAGTCTCTAGAATCTGAGTAGCATTGCCGGGAAGCTCCAATGGCTGCGAGAGCAGCGAGCATCGCTGGAGTGCGGTCTTGCCACACTGGAGCAGAGCTATGGCTAATTCCTCGGATAAAAAAGTCTCGCCACCGTAATCTTCGATCTGGGCAATGTTGATGTTTGTACGTGTGCTCAACACTGCTTGCAAATCGCGTTTCAATTCTTGAAAGCCACCGCTTTGAAGCTGCTTCTTCTGATGGTTCTTCGATTCATAGTATTGAATTAAAAGAGCCGCCGAACGTTCGCGCAGAGCTTTTGTTTCAACGCTGTAATTTTAATATTTTATAATTATTAAGAAAAACTACAAATTTTACAGCCATTATTACAGAGTCATCGTTGAACTTACGTGATGTAAGTATCCAAGTGTTTTTGGAAAATATTTCTCGTCAATTTGGGCAAGTACGTGTCATCTGTGCCCAAATCGAAGCGTTTCAAGTCACCAGATAACTTCACAGTCTTGAAGTACAAATCGTACAAATTTTTCAAGTACTTTTCTGAATCTGCTCTATCCGCCAACTTAGCAACAGCGTACTTTTGCAGCCTGAGATGGTAAATATTCAAAACGAATTTCGCCATGACTTGCTCGGGATTCGAAAAAACTTGCTGAATGAGCGTGTAGTTTTTTGCACACATGGGAATAACTTCTTGGAAGACGTCCTTGCCACCAAAAGAGCTCATTTGGCTCTCTTCAATGAAAGCATTTATGCATTGAGAGTAGCCCTTAAAGTGCGATAACACAGAAGCAATTTTTTTCATGCGTGCGGCATCTTCTGCACTTTGAGCCCTCACGAATTCGTCAATGAGATTCATTTCAATTTCATCGTACTTGGCTGAAATTTTTTTCTTTGCGTTCTCAAATTTGTCAGAAGGCAGCTCTTGGGCTATCACATGAAGCTTCTGAATAACATCTGCTGCTTCATCCAACTAAAAGAAAAACAAGTCAAAAATTATTTTTTAAAAAATTTAACGTTTAGAATCGTTTGGTAATTGTATGGCTGGTGTTTCAGACACTGATGCCATTGATTATACATACTTTCGACTTGTCCGTAAAAATTGGATCAGTCAAAGGTCCGGGTGTTAAAAATTCAGAAAAGTGCCTCATAAGTTTTTGCGCCTCTACAGCTCTGGCTCTAGGAGTATTAACATTTTCCAACTGGTCACCCAAATGTAGGACCTTCGTTGCTACCAAGTTAATCCTTTCGTCCAGCTGATGAAAAAGTTCGATGGATTTTTTATTTCTCTCTTGGAGATCTCGTATCTCTACAGCGTGCCGGGCCTCCTCCTCTTTTGACGCAACTTCCAATTTGTCGCACTTTATTTGTTGACGCTCTTCCAAAACCTGCAGATCCTTGATTGCTTGCAAGAAGGTTTCGTGTACCAGAACAGGGTCAAAAACTCCGGTCACTCCATCTTTTGTTGTGTCGTTGACTGTTCTCCAAGCTAACCTCTCGACAAATTCTTCCGGATCAAAAGGCTCCTGAAAATAATTAACAACTTTATAACAAATATTTGTCTTCAAAATAAATTATATGTTAATTGCAAATACTGAACCTAATTAAAATGTTTATCGGGTGACATTTAGAGTGCTGATTATTTCGTTTCGATACAAAGTCACTGAATAAAACGTGATTGATAATCACAAGAAAACACAAAATACTTTGCGAATGTTGAATTAATGGAAAAGAAAAATATGTACATCGAAATTGGCTTACTTGTTCGAGCTCCTTCATGTATTGTTGCATCATTTTGACAGGATACTTTGTTGTCAACAGACCAGTGACAGATGATGATTAAAGGCAGTGATGGGAAATGTAAAACTACTTAATGACTTTCATGAGTTTTACAAAGTGATCCTTGAGGATCACTGTATACTTAAAAACACTCACAAGCAAATGAGCACAATTAAAAAGTTAAACAGAGCGACACAAATAAGCAATATTTTGTTTATGTCACAATTAGAGATTGGAGGTGGATGTGGGATCGATACAGTAGAAGTATCGATTTTAAATGCATTGCAATTTGCATGCATGGAAATGCATCGATAGTATCGATAGTCGTTAGAAATCTTTAAAAAATTCAGATAAATTTTTTATTTCTCATCTTATTGCGCTGCACATTTCACATATTTTGCTGTACACTCGAATTATACAGCTGCATGTTTAAATGAATACTTACCACCTTTTCGCTTGTTAATTAATATAAATTGTTTTAAAAATATGTTTTCTATCGATATCCATTTCAATACCAATATATGTCGATACAGCTCGTACCAACCGAATCTCGATAGTGAATCGCTGGTCGATGCATGCTTGCGGTTATCCGATACAATTGGACACTGACTGCAGCATTGTAAATGCTGACATGATGGTATAACTGCATCTCCGGCCGCGTGGCAGCATGATTCGTTCCCGCATGTGGCGAAAAAAGAGTCTGGTTAGTATATATAGACCAAATTGTCAGCAGTCGTTCAGAGATGTGTGCACACTGGCTCATGACGTAGTAGCACTACGACAGCTGACCGCGCAACACATATTCCCGCGCGCCAGCAATAATGAGATTAGAAACGTACGGAACAATAAATTAATCTCATTATAACGACAAAGTGATCCCAAACATACGTGACGAATCCCTCCCAAAAGCTTTCAAGGGGAACATCCCCGGGAGAAAGCTTCTCCACAGAGGCGAAATCCGCAAGGATGAGTGGCAATAGCCAAGAGGGACAGGTTAGAAAACCACCAACGACCGTTAACAATGAATCTCCGAAAAAAAGAAATGCAAGCGTCCTAAGCAATAGCGACGAGAGGATAATCAAATTTCGGGCTCTAGAAGCGAGTAGCCTGGATAACAAAACCAAAAACATGGTACAAAAAATATTAAACCCTACTAGTAAAAATGAATATGTACCAAACTTCACGAGACTCAACAAGGTAAACAACAACGTACCCAGCAGCCAGAGACAGAAACCAAAGGTAAATGAAACAAACGCAGAGATGGATTCCAGCTCCGCCAACACAGAGGCAGAGAGCACTCCTACCAAAAGTAAGGCCCCTCCAATCATAATAGAAGGGACATTATCGCACTCCTCAGGAAAGATAGAAGATGTGACGACTTCATCATCAAAAATACAGACGAAAAAAAATGCAGCATAAGGCCATCTAATGAGACACAGCATGCTGAGATCACCACGATTCTCAAGGAGAACAAAATCCCTTTTTTTACCTTCACTCCAAAAAACGCTAAAATGAAAACGTTATTCCTAAAAGGACTCAGCAAAGAGACCAGTGAAAAAGAGATAGAAGAAGAACTCAAAAAAAAAACAAGTAAATGAAGTTAACATCACAAAATTAACAACACTTAACACTAGAGATAAAAGATCCAAGATCTTTATGATACAAGTAACAGCAGATAGCAAAACTGAAAACCTGACAAACATGAAACACATGTTATACCAGGCCATCAAATGGGAACCCTTAAAGAAAAAAGGACCCCCCCAATGCAAAAACTGTCAAAGGTTTGGACACGTAGCTACAAATTGCTCAATGGGTTATCGGTGTGTCAAATGCGCCGAGCCTCACGGTCCTGGGAAATGCACCTTGGAGAATAACGCAGATAAATCAGTATTAAAATGTGCGAACTGTGGCCAATCGGGTCACCCAGCGTCATTCAAAGGATGTACCAAATATAAGGAACAAAGCCAGATGAAAAATAATAAAAACACCAACAAGACCTCAACAGCGCCACTAATTAAAAGTTATGCAGCAGCAGCATCAACAAACTTACACCAAAGAAACCAATTCAGCCAATATGCACACCCACAAATGCAGCAGCAACTACAACAACAACAACGAGACAGCCAGGGAAACATGCAGAACAACGGAGGCAATCCAATTACTGAGATAATAAGGGAAGCAAACAAGAGCACAACAACACTACTCGATGAATTCCAACGCAATATGAATAAACTTACACTAGACTGCACGGCTAAAATAAACACCAGGATTGACAACATCTTGATACAGACCGAATACAACGCACAAAGGATAGAACTTTTAGCTGCCCATCTGGAGATTGAATGGCAGCAGATGGAAGCAGAATAACGAACAATAGAGAAACAGTAATGCAAGACTCAGGTAAAATAAAAATTATAGAAGCAAATATAAACTCACTTAAGACGAATTATAAAAGACTTAAAGTACAAAAAGTGATTAAAAATTATGATCCGGATATCATATGTTTATGTGAAACAAAACTGGTTCCGTCCCTTAAACCTAATTTTAAGAATTATAAAATATACAGAAATGACAGGATTGTGAGTGNACGTTAAAGACACCCTCGGCGGAGATTTTGTAACGATGCGAGCACGACAGGTGAAAGGGTGTTCCGCACTTGCTACAACGAATCGTCCCGGACGATATGTTCCGTCCACAGGAGCGACAGGAAACCATAACCTACTAAATCGTCTAGTGCGCCGTTCCCGTTGCGTCACCCGGGCCTTTTACACTTTTCTCATTCGCGTGGTCAATATCCCACTTCACTTTTTCTCTCTCTTTCTATTATCTTGAGAGTGCGCTTCTTTTCTTCCTGGCAACGTTAAATTTTTCCGATAATTTCCCGTTTTACGGACTCTTTCCTCTTGGTTTGTGAACAACGTACATGCATATGATACGAGAGACACATTCGGGAATCAGGCACAAACTTTCGCGAAATGTATTTTCGAAATGTCTTTCTCTTACACATCGGCCGCCATATTGTAATTATTGCTTTTATAATTGAGAATGCGCGCGCACCCTTCTCCTTCGCCCTTCGCTTCTCTCTTTCGCGCACGCACGCACCCTCCCTAGCAGGGTTGTACATTGTGGCATAATATCAGTCGCGAAATTCAAAAATGCCAAAAATGAATAGAATCAATGAAAAAAATTAATTGATTTCATTCACTGCTAAATGAAAACAAACAATATTAAAAAGAGTTACAATGTTAGAAATAATTTATTTGCTTAATTTTTGCAACCAAAAGTATATTTATACTTTTTTAGACGGAATCTTAGTTTTACGAAGTAAACAATTATAATTGGCAGTAATAGTAATACACGTTTAATCAATCATATATATATATATGAATATATTTTATAAACAACGAAATGGACAATTTTTAAGTTTAAACATTTGTAATTATCAAACTTAAGTTGTAAAATAGCAGATGAAGGTGATTACTGTATCATAAGAATACCTTGCTACAAGGTAATACAGAGTGTACCGACGGTGTTTAGAGTATTAAGGTTGAATTCCAATGACGAAAACGTAATCAGCTATAAAGTTACATGAAAAACCGACTGGCATCTAGCATTATTTTGTAAATCGCTAATGGATGTCGCTTACTAGTCTGTGAATGTAGGGTTTTTGTCCTACTATATATGTGTGTCGTCGTGGGAGAAGGTGCTGGAATGAGCAGAGAGACCTTGTGTATGAGTTTGTGCTTCATTTACTGTTATTACATGTGCGGCTCGGACTCGAGCTCAGCAAGGACTGAATCACTGAAGTCGTCAGTAAGCGGTTACACCGCACGACTAGTATAGAGTGGGGGTAAGCCCCTACAGTACTCCCCTCAAGTTTGAACGTATAGTTAAAACTTACAAAAGGTCTGCTTGTACCAATATATTTGATGATTAAACGAACTTCAGGTGAAGTTCAATCATAATTACACGAAGAACTTGTTCGAGGATATTGAATGTATGTAGTACCCCATTTCATCGCCAGATGACGCCACAGTTCGGAGACAAAAAAGAATTTTTTTTTTTTGCAGCGCGCCTCGCACGCTCCCGTCATCTACTCCTGAACTCATTTATTTAAAAGCTTTCCAGGTTAGGGGTGGGTATACGCAATTTTTGTGGGGATAAAAATTCAAAGGGGAGGAAATTATATCCTCGAACAAGTCCTTCGTATAATTATGATTGAACTTCACCTGAAGTTCGTTTAATCATCAATTATACATCAGTTCCTTGTTCGAGGATATTGAATGTATGTAGATGTTTAGAGTAACGATTAATCTTTATTAGGTTGATCAGGTACATACAAATTGTACATTATAGAAACACTAATCACATTTATCTTAACTTCTAAGGTTTGATTGATTATTGTAGTAACACGAAAATTATGTCACGGTTTACTTAGAACAGTCATTGCGAAAGCTCCATCGGGTTTACTAATCTGTCTGTTGTAAAATTTGTAAAATGTATTTGATCTATCAGACCATCCTGCTGCTTTCTTAATATCCTTTATATTTACTCCCTGCAGCCATGCTTTGGAAGTTGATGCATGTCTTGTTGAGTGTGCAGTGAACTGCTCATCAACCCCCGCTTGTTTCATGACTGCCCTGAGCCAACGACTCACTGTATTAGTCCCCACTGCTTTATGTGGATGTTGGAATGAAACAAGAAGTTGAGTGGAGTCAGCTCTGATATCCTCTGTCTTCTGAATATAGAATTTTAAAACCGTTGCTATGCATAATCGCTTATTCCGGAAAGGATGAAACTTTGCGTATGGTTGGCAAGATCCTGGTCTCGACGTCTTGGTAACGTCTTTAATTGTTATTTCCACCGTCTCTCCTATAAATTTGATGTCCCTTAGTTTTATGAAGACTAAAGCTTGTACCCTAAACGCTGAACCGAGGGCCAATAGCATAGTCAACTTTAACGTAAGCATACGCAGATTCAGTGATTCTAACGGCTCCCAGGTCTCTATTAAATCCAACACAATCGACACATCCCATGTGGCTGCGTATTTCGGGGCTGTGGGTCTGGTTCTGAATACGCCCTTAAAAAATCTGTTTAACAACTGAGACTTTGACCAGTCTTCGTCGCTAATCAAAGCCACTGCTGCCCGAAAACAGGTCAAAGTGCCATACGCTGCACCCTCTTCATACCTCCTTGTTAAGCATTCCAAGATCTCTTTTTCGTTGGCCTTGAAAGGGTCCTTCGTTGTTGCAGCACAAAATTCCCACCAGAACTTCAATGCTGTCCCATATTGCTTAATGGTGTTGCTGGATACCGAAGCCACCATAATCTCTACTGTTTCTGCGTCTAGATCTTTTCTCTCAAACGCTTGCCTGATAACAGCCCTGCTACCAGGGAAAGGTCCGAGGCCAGTGGGTGAATTCTTGATCTGCAAGGAGAGTTTAATAAGTTCTGATATGGTTCCCAAATAATAGGCTTTCTTATAAGTAACCTATGAAACTCTGGATACCAAGCTTGCGAAGGCCATAAAGGGACAACTAGGATACCACACGCGCCCTCCTCTTTGATTTTCTTTATTATTCTTGGTATTAAGGCAAAGGGAGGAAAGGCGTACCAAAACTCGTTGGTCCATGGGATAGTGAGAGCGTTGACGGCTAGCGCACCTGCGTCTCTGTCTCAGGAGCAATATCTTACACACTTGGTATTAATCCTAGATGCGAACAAGTCTATCGAAGGCTTCTCGAAGGCTCTGCAGATGTCCCGAAACGCCCTATCTGACAGTTCCCACTCTGTATCTAGATTATTAATTCTAGAGCCTTCATCTGCTGGATTTTCCTTAGACACGACGTACTCCGCGAAAACCCAAATCCTTTTCTCCTCACACCAGAGCCATAGGTCTTTGGTCACCTCATGGAGATCTTGATGTTTAGTTCCCCCCATTTTATTAATGTATGCCAGTGCTGTCACATTGTCTATGCGCAGTAAAATCTGAGCATCAAAACGAGAGATAGCAAAGCATCTGATGGCTAAAGACGCTGCCTTTATTTCTAACCAATTAATATGTTTTTCTCTTTCCATTGCGCTCCAAAGGCCATGAGTTTTTAACTCTCCACACGTCGCGCCCCAGCCCGTTTGTGAGGCGTCTGAAAAAATTTCCATCTCAAAGGCGCAACTCCTAATCCTATTGTTCACTAGCATGATCTGCTTGTTCCACCACAAGAGATCTTCTCTTGTTTTGTATGACAATTGGATCTTTAATCCTTTTTTATACCCATGTGTAGCCAGCGCTCTTTGTTTCAATTTTTCTAACTCTTTATAGTAAAGCAAGCGCTTACGCTACCGCGGGGCAGGCTGCCACTAGTGTTCCTATGACTCTAGCTAAATTTTCCAGCGATACCTTCGTCGTCTTTATAAGCTTCGTCGTCAATGCTTTAATACCTAACCTCTTGTCCCATGGGAGGGACAGTCTCATATGAGCTGAGTCTATGATTAATCCTAGAAAAATGGCTTGCCTACTCGGAATCAAACAACTCTTACTCCAATTGATATCAAAACCCAGTGATAGCAATAATGATACCGGCGCGCTTCCCCGTCTTTCGCATTGGTCACGAGACTCGCCAAAAATCAAGAAATCGTCTAGATATGCTATGATTTTAAAACCCTGCTCTCTTACGTGTGTTAGGATAGGTCTAATAAATTTTGTAAATAACCACGGAGCCGATGCTAACCCGAATGACAAAACCTTAAATTGATAGAGAGACCCTTCAAAACTAAAGCTTAAATATTTCCTATATGCTGGCTCTATAGGTACCGCGTGATATGCGTCTTTAAGGTCGATCTTGACCATCCAGTCTCCCGGGTCTAGTAAAGTGAGCGCTGTACGCATATCCTCCATCTTAAAATGTGCTACGTTACAACTCTTATTAAATTTCTTCAAATTTAACACAAATCTAGATGATCCATCCGGCTTTGGAACTAGAAAATAAGTAGATACAAATTGTCCCTCTACTTCCAAACATCTTTCGACTGCCCCTGATTCCAGTAATTTATTAATCTCTCCCCCGATTCGGTCCTGTTGTTCATTACTCATTATTTGACAAGGTATTACCTCTTGGTAAGGCTCGAAAAGTAAGTCTAGGCTATACCCCTTTATGGCTTCCAAGACAAAGGTATCCTTTGTTATACACATCCAGTTCAATGTATGAAATTGCAGTTTTCCTGCCGCTCTTACCTGATTTATTGTCTCGGTCTTTGAGGTTGGGTCTGACTGTAATTCCTCTTCGCCGGTTGGGCTCTTGTACTGCTCTGATATGGGTGACGAGAGAATGATGCGTTTTGATGACGAGGGCTGTTGTAACTCCCCCGCCCCTCTCTTTTGGCAAAGGAGTCTTTCCGGTTTAAATGATTCTGAGACACTAGTCGCAGTGGGACTTTTTGTTTTTGATGTAGATCCTTCGAGACCTTTTCCAGTGATTTGGTCTTCTCCACCAACCCTTTGACATCGTCACCAAACAGCCACTCCGTAGACTCCACTGCTTTGAGGGCCTTTTGCATCTTTTCATCCAAGCCACCGGTCGCGTAAACCTTNCGCCACTCACGGGAACGGCACCGGAGCCACGCGGTTGGAGACGGAATTACAACAGCAGCGTTGTTTATCCATTGTCGATAACCAATTAACAATAATAGCTATTATATACTATAGTATTGTAGGTGACCGGTAACCGCTAACATAACGCCTTAGTATACCTATATATACTAATTTAAGCAGATGGTAAGTTTACACATGTTTTGCTTTGCCACATATAGGTATACTACAGCGTTATATTAGCAGTTACCGGTCGTCTACCATACTATTATTAATTGGTTATCGACAATGGATAGACAACACTGCTATTGTAATTCCGTCTCCAACCGCGTGGCTCCGGTGCCGTTCCCGTGAGTGGCGAAAATAGTACTTGGTTAGTATATATAGCCGAATTAGTTTTTCAGTCGTCAGAGTTGTGTGCACACTAGCTCTGACCTTGGTCCTGGGAAATGCACCTTGGAGAATAACGCAGATAAATCAATATTAAAATGTGCGAACTGTGGCCAATCGGGTCACCCAGCGTCATTCAAAGGATGTACCAAATATAAGGAACAAAGCCAGATAAAAAATAATAATAAAAACACCAACAAGACTTCAACAATGCCACCATTAATTAAAAGTTATGCAGCAGCAGCATCAACAAATTTACACCAAAGAAATCAATTGAGCCAATATGCACACACACAAATGCAGCAGCAACTACAACAACAACAACGAAACAACCAGGGAAGCATGCAGAACGTCGGAGGCAATCCAATTACGGAAATAATAAGGGAAGCAAACAAGAGCACAACAACATTACTCGATGAATTCCAGCGCAATATGAATAAGCTTGTACTAGACTGCACGGCGAAAATAAACTCCAGGATCGACAACATCTTGATACAGACCGAATACAACGCACAAAGAATAGAACTGTTGGCTGCCCATCTGGAGATTGAATGGCGGCATATGGAAGCAGAATAAATAACAACAGAGAAACAATAATTCAAGACTCAGGTAAGATAAAAATTATAGAAGCAAATATAAACTCACTTAAGACGAATTATAAAAGACTTGAAGTACAAAAAGTGATTAAAAATTATGATCCGGATATCATATGTTTATGTGAAATAAAACTGGTTCCGTCCCTTAAACCTAATTTTAAGAATTATAAAATATACAGAAATGACAGGATTGTGAGTGGAGGTGGAGGCACTGCAATTATGATAAAAGAGAAATTTGAAGTAGAGCTAATTCACCTAAGCAAAAAATTGGCTCTACTAGAATTGACAATAGTCAGACTAACTTTATCAAACAAGCAAAAACTCTATATCATAAGTGCATATGCATCCAGCACCAACAAAAACAAAATCAGCGTAGACTTGTCAACTCTATTTAATGAGCTAAGACTCAACGAAACCAACAACTTATATATATTGGCAGGAGATTTAAATGCTAGGCATCCTCACTTTGGTGACAATAAAACGAACTACCGTGGTAACAATCTAAAGAGCTGGGTTAATGACAACAGCATAATTTACAAACTTAACATAATAAACCCAGAATGTGCTACCTTCCCTCTTTCTGATGCGTATCTGGATTTGATGTTCACAGACATAAGACTCAAAGCAGACAAACCACAACTAACAACCATAAATATAGACAGTGACCATAGGGCCACCCTAGCCACCATAAATCTACCTGATAATTATCACTTAGAAATAGATAACAATAAACCTATCTCCTATATATACAAAAAAACTAACTGGAAAAAATTCCAAAAAAATTTAAGCAAAGACTACTCTCTCAAAATACCTGATAACAGGAACTTAACAAACGAGGAGATAGATGACTTTATCTATCAAAGCCAAAGGATGATCAACGAAACAATTTCAAAAACAATACCAAAATATAAGCAGNAGACCACTTCCAAGATGAGCCATTGTGTCTGCTTGTTGCTCGTTAGAAGGACTAGCATTGCCCCATCTAGTATTTTCAGTAAAGTATATCAATTAGAAAATTTATACTTAGTATTTTTTTTCCATACACATAGTTTTGGAAAACAAAATTAATTAATTGATTAATTTTGTATTAGAAACTACTTTGTTGACGATTAGAAAATAATAAAGTTTATGTTCCATTCTCCTAATAATTTTGTAGAAGCCTTCACATAAGCTAACACAAAAAAAAACATCATACAAATATTAAGCATAGAAAAAACCCGTGGAGGTGTACTGGTATAGAGACTGTCTTGTAATACAGTGGTGGTAGTGGATATAAGTGTAGCGTATTTTAAAACCGAGTAAATGGGCATTAAGCCCAACTACATAGATAAGTGAACTTACCTAGACTTTCGATTTTCTCTCCGCCTGTTGTCCCTATCAGAGCTGGTGCCTCTCTTCTTCTCCTTAGGTTCTTCGCCCCCATCGACTCTGCTTCCTTGTTCTCTGGGAGGTATGAGCGGTGGAGGACCACCATCTTTTCTCCATGATACATCGCCTGGAGCGTTGCCCAACAACGGGGGTGGATGGCCACCTGGACCCGGAGGTCCCATGCCGAAGGGTGGCATGCCAGGACGACCCAAAGGTGGGCCACCGTTACCACGGCCTTCGTCAAAGCCGGGTGGTCGGAAGAACGGTCCACCATCAGGACCTTCGCGAGGATCAAAATCAAAGGGCGGCCCGCCACGCGGACCTCCTGGACCACCTGGTCCTGGAGGGCCAGGGCCAAATGGAGCTCTCATACCTGGTCGCATACCTCTTGGTCCCATACCGCGTGGAGGGAAGAGTGGAGGAGGAGCTGTTGGGAAACAAATGAGGATTGAATGTTGTAAAAACTTGGACGAAGAATTTTGGCGTGGCATCGGATGTAAACAGTATTTATCGACATTGCTAGATTGCTAATACACGAGCTTATTTTTGTTTCGCAAGTATGATTTCCTTACTCAATTAGTATGATTACCAATACATCATGGTATTAAAAATGAATCGAGGAATCTATAGCTCTACATTAACAAGTAGCAAAATTGAGAAATGACTTACCACGTCCCCTTGGGCCAAATCCTTCGGGTCCCATCATACCTGGTGGCATAGGCCCTCTAGGTCCTCTAGGTCCCATCAGGGACGGAGGTCCAGGGCCAAACCTGGGTTCTCCAAAGAAATCTCGTCTCCCACCACGAGCAAAGTCTGGATGATCGTGCATGTTAAAGTCATCGGGCATGCCACGTGGAATATCGAAAGGTGGGCCATCATCAGGATTACGCGGCCGCATATCGAAGTCGAAACGCTTCTGCCGATCGAAATCATCGAGACGACGTTCAGATGGTCCTGATCTTCCATCAGGACGGCCTCCCGGGCCACCAGCTGCGTCAAAATCATCATGAGGGCCAACCGAAGATGGACCCGAAGGTTGAGGACCATGTCGCAAGTCGAAATCGAGATCGAGTCGAGGTGGTCTACCACCCATTCTATCAAAGTCTTCTGGAGGGGGGTACCTGTGCTCCAACAGGCTACGGGGTGGTTCGGGAAAGTCCTCCAATGGACCACCACGTCCCATTGAATCACCAGGTCTCATGCCAAACGGTCGATTGTCACGGTCTCCCATACCTACAACAAACGAAATTTTAAATTAGATTGTTACAAACATATTACTGTTACAAGGACATCTATTCAAGTTGCACTTACGAGGAAAATCTCTGAGATCGCGACCTTCATTTCGAGATCCAAAGTCTCGCGGTCCACCGAAAGCAGTGTCTGGCATGCCAGGGAATTTCTGCGGTGGTAAGTCCAACAGAGATGGTGGCCCATCTCCAGGTCGACGAAGAGGTCCCAACAAACTAGGTGGCTGTTGCTGCGGTTTCTGCTGCTGCTGTTGCTGCTGCTGCTGCTGCTGCTGCTGCTGCTGCTGCTGCTGCTGCTGCTGCTGTTGTTGTTGTTGTTGTTGATGCTGCTGCTGTTGCTGTTGTTGTTGTTGTTGCTGCTGCTGCTGTTGCGGCGGTGGTCCATCCAGAATTGGTCGTCTATTGGGCGGTTCGTCATAGTTACTTCCACGATCGTGTCTGTCGTTGCTGGTACTTCGATCATTTCTGTTGCCTCGCATGTCCCTGTCTATGCGCTCGTCAATGAGGGGAAGCGTACCATCAGCCAACTGTCGCAGTCGATCAGCGAGGCTCGATTTCGGGCCATCTTTCTTAGGACCCATGGATTCATTATTCGAGCCTATCATGTCTTGTGGCTGCCTCGAGTCACGATCTCTGTCACGATCGTTTCTTCGGTCGTCTCTATCTCTTTCTCTACTTCGTCGTCTGTCTCTTCCTCCACGGTCTCTGCCTCCTCTGCCTCTATCTCTACCTCGGGAATCACTTCTATCATCGTGTCGATCATTTCTGTCTCTGTCACCAAGACCACCGAGACCACCAAGACCACCAAGACCACCAAGACCAGCAAGACCACCAAGACCACCGAGACCACCATTACCATCTCTATCTCGGTCTCTGTCCCGTTCTCGCCTATCCCGGTCTCTTTCGCGTTCTCTAAACATATCTCTATCTCCATCTGATCTGTCATTCTTCATTGAAGCAAGCAACTGCTCACTGAGACTTCCTTTGTTGTTATTCATACCACTATCTTTATTAGGGACATGACTGGGTGGCATAATCATAGCGTCTTCCATCTCTACATCCATATCGTCAGAGGAGTGCTGATGTTGTAATTGTGGCTGTGACTGACGCTGCTGCTGCTGCTGCTGCTGCTGCTGCTGCTGCTGCTGGTGATGCTGTTGTTGCTGCAGCTGATGGTGTTGCTGTTGCTGATGGTGCTGCTGTTGCTGATGATGTTGCTGCTGCTGTTGCTGATTTGTTGGGTGCGGAGGCATTTGCTGCATTGACATTGGAACGCCGTAAGCCTGGCGCATCATGGACAAATTGGGCATTCCAGACTCGGAAGTTGGAGGTGGTACACCAAGGGGCGGAACGTTGTGTGGCATGCCACCAGGGTTAGGTTTGTCTGATTGTGCAGTCGGTGTGGGCATTGGTATTTGAGCGAGAAGACCAACGCCTACTCCAGTACCAAACGGTGAATTAGTCTGCTGCATCATTGTTTGCATCATGCCTGGGGGCCCGAGCAAGCCTTGCATGCTTGGCGGTGGCACACCGATAGGCACGTTTGGCATTAAACCTGGGGGCATCGACAAGCCCATTGGACCCAACATACCTGCTGCAAATAGATATAAAATTATCGGTTAGAGAATTTTTAATGAAAAAAGTAATTTCAACAAAATCGTAAACCACTGATGTAGAGACTTACGAGGCATACTGAAACCAGGTGGCATCATCGGGATCTGATTAGGTGGTGGTAAAAGAGGTGGTGCCTGAAGTCCAGGCGGCCTGATTGGTGGTGGTTGACTCGTGTCCACCAACTGAGCCGCACTCGACGTAGGCGGTTGCTGGGGCTGTTGTTGCGGTTGGTGTGGTTGTTGGGATTGCTGGGGTTGTTGTGGTTGATGGACAACACCGTCGGTAACTATTGGTATCATTGAGCCTTGATTTGACGTTGACTGGGTCGATTCCGAGTCTGGTGTGCGTTTTCTTCGGCCTGGTAAGTGTATATATATTTTCATTTGTCAATATAAAACATTGAAATGAATTTTTATGAATGCAGCTTTAATTCACCTTTCAATCTCGGAGGCATGGAGTCTTCATCGATCATTCCTCCCTCTTCCAGAAATTCGAGTTCATGGTCCGAGATGTTGTTCAATTTACTCCAAGGGATATAACTGACACCAAGCTCGACCTCCCAATAATCCTTCCATTCTTTACCTTTCACACCTTTCCCAGGAGCCCATGCCAGCTATAATTACACGAAAAATATGAATTTTCAACAAAACTATAAGTACCACTTAACACGCTCACACCAAGTACACTTACTGTTATTGCTTTCCCTTGCATTTTGTGATTTTTTAATTTTGTCAGAGCTCTGTATGCGTCCTGGCGTCTATTCATGCAAATAAAAGCGCATCCTCTGGGTGAAATTAAATCGATACTGACAATGTCACCAAATTCCCCAAAAGTGTCGGACAACTCCTCTTGATGAACAAGCTTTGACAAATGTCCGACCCACAATGTCGTACTGCAAACTACAAAGAGAAAAATTCAAAATTGTAAAAAAAATCTACTAGAAATCGTATCTACAAAAAAAAATTTTAATTTACCACTCAGTTTTTCTTTAATCAAAGGAGGAAGACCTCGCTTTCGCCTGTCTCTATCTCGCTCTCGTTCTTCCTCAGTCAATCTGTCACGACTGTCTTCACGTTTACGATCATTCCTTTCTCGAGACCTGCAAGTGCAAAATAAATACAATATTAAAAAATGAAAAATAATACCATGAAAACCATTGTATAAAATTACAGCTTAGTAATAATAAAATGTTCAGAACTTGCTTGACCTCGACAAAAATATGAAAATTTGACGAGGCTCAAAAGTTCAAATTTCCTTTAGCAAGTTGGTTCAAGCTGAATGTTTCTTGTGAACAAGCAGCTAGATTAACTTGCTAAATCATGCATATTGATTGTGGAAATCCGATAACATACCTATGACGTCTGGTTCTGGACCTAGATCTAGATCTCGACGATCTCGACCGTGACCTACTACGGGACTTTCGATCCCGCGATCTGCCTCTGTGTCGTGGAGATCTGGATCTACTGTGCCGCCTACTGCTGTATCGATCAGGAGATCTGCTTTGCGATCGCGACGGGTCGCAGTTGACTATTTCGACACTATTTTCTCGCCTTGGTAAGTTGCTAAAAATAAAAAAAAAATCAAACAATGGATACAGATGACTGCTAAATGATCAGAAGTTCGATCTAAAGAAAGCATACTTTTCTTCAACATGAGGACTCTGTTGGGGCATGATCGTAGGCTGCATGAATGGCGGTCTGAGCAAGGGAGGTGGCTGTGTGACGAAAGGCATAGCCGGTGGATGGTAACCCGGTGGTGGCTGACTCATATCTGGCGGTAAAACCATCGGTCCCATCATAACTGGTGCATATGGAACTGGAGGAGGTGGAGGCGGTGGCGGTGGTGGAGGTGCCGGTTTCATTATATCAGTCGGCTTCAGCTCACACTCCGAAGCAAACGGCAAACTCTGCAAGAAATCGCATTGTGACTTTGGACATTATGATCAGACGGTGCTAAGTGATGCGGACTTACAGGAACAGTTTGAGCAAGATGTTTATCGAACTCTTCTTCTTGTTGTTTCATTTGCTGCAGTTTGCGCATCTTTTCCTCCATTTCTTGTTGCATTGCGTTGGTGCTGTTTTGTTGCATCGTTTGCTGCAATGTTTGCAACTGCCTCAGGACCTAGTGAAGGTAAAAAGATGGATCATGAGAATTCCGAAAATCCAAGAGAAAGAGACAAGAGATTAAGATAATGGAAGCCATACCTCCGGATTGGCAAGTAGAAGGCCGAGACTCTCGAGGTTGCTTGTGGCGGTAGTGATGGCAGCTGTATGTTGGTTCATAACAGCTTGGCTAATTTTTGGCGAAGTACCGGAGACCTGCTGGACGTCATCGTCTTCTTCCTCGCCGTAGTCAAAGTCGAGAAGCTTTTTGTCGAACTTGACTGAGCTTTGACTGGCCTCGTTCGCTGCCTCCTGCTTTTTGAGCAGCAGCTGCTGCAAATGCTGCAATTGATCAAGGAATGAAACGTCCATTTGATTCGTACCGACCTGCCCCTATTAGACAAAAGGTATATTTTGGTACATGATTTCAAGGTCAAAAGCTCAAGGTGCTTTTTTTCTAAGTTTCTTTACTAGTTTTGAGTAACGTTAACGTGAACAAGAAATTAATATGCCTATGGTATATATATAGGAGCAAGGTCATAACAAAAGACGGGCAAAAACGAATTAAGCAAAAGCGATGCATTAAAGTTGATGATCAACTTAAAGGATAATAGACAAAACATGTTATTAAAAAAGACATCAAACGGAATTCAGTGCCAACAACACAGGAGTTTCAAAGATATCTTACCAGCAACTTGTTGGCATTGACGATATTTGCCGTTTCCATTTTCGTTTGCGCCAGCCATGCTGGGTCTATGGGTTTTGCTGTGGAGAATAGTTTTTGGTCCTTTGGCGTATTTTTGGCAGTAGATGGCGAGCTCTTTGATACAGTGCTTAAATTATTCACATTATTTCCTGCGGGAGTATTTAATACTCCTGAAAAAAGAATTTTTCAACTTAGTTTCGACGCAACCTTGAACATTTTAACTAAAGACACCACGAACTCACCATTTGACTGTTCTTTGTGGATAGGATGATTAGGATCAACAAGATCAAACAGCGGCTGAATGACTTCAGGGGGAAAGACGGCATTCTTCTGCCAAAGATTCAGCACTCTGATGAGCTTGCTTTTGTCCTCAGGTGGGCACTTAAGTAGGTTTAGAAATGTAGATTGCATATTCTTTGCGAATCTCGGAGCAAACACGTCTTTTTCTGTGCCAAACTGATGCCGAGACTGCCTTACAATTGAGTCTATGACGTACAATCCTGGAACTTTGTACTCTGGCTTGCACTTTAACAAAAAAAAAACAAATAATTTAATTAGTATTTCAATTATAAATTTAATTTGAGCGCGTTTAATTGTACCAACGTATGCTTTCACTGTTGTATGGGTATTACATAATAGTATGGTAAAACACGGTAAAAAGCATGTGCACTTTAAAGCTCATAGATGACAATCATACTAACTTTTAGGATAAATTTTTCCACACTCTGAACAACGTGTTTGTAAAATTTGATAGCCTTGATGGCACCTCTTGTTAAGGAGTTCATCTTGGCCTTTGAGATTGGCGGCTTCACCTCGTAGAGGCTGGAAAGCTGTAAAACAAAAACAAAAAATACATGAACCATTCATATTTAGGGAACTTGTGACGATTAATGTCATCAAATACAGTATGTTGGTAAATTTGAGAAAGCTTTAGACTCTTGCAGGCATGACTCATAAGAGTACAAAAAAAAATAGGCAAGAAGGATTCCACACCACCATCACAATCAAGCTCAAACAAAGTAGCTGACTCAATGAAACCTAGGCAAAGATAATTTACAAGGATGTGCGGTTTAATAACTCATCTTTACGTATAGCTCCAAAAAAATGAAATATAAACATAGCTAGTGGACCCAAAGCACTTCTACCATCTTACAGCGACTCCACGACTCCAGTTTGAAAACACACACACACATAAACACACGGACTCACACTCACACGTATGTAACAGTTAGGGGAAACACCAGAGGAGGAGGAGGGCGGTGATGAAAAGGGAAATGGCTACTAAGGGATGAAAGTCCTCACCTCGGAGTTGAAGGCTTTGACGGCGTCCATGATTCCTGGCGGCTTGGCTCTTGGGCCTCTCGGCGAGCATCGGGGGTTCTGCGAGTATCGTGGGCTTCACGACTCGGGCCCTTTTGGCCCGTCTCAGGATCAGTCCCAGCAGTAGAGCCAAGCCAAGTCGGCACGGCGTTCCCTAGCCTCCCCTTTGCACGCTACACACGAGAGCCCACTTAGGATCCTTGGCGAAATCAAAGAGAGAGAAAGAGAGCGATGGGAGGAAGACTGGGGAGTCTCCTCTCCTCAGCAGGAACACATAACTGTCGCAGTGGGTGTATAGGACGACGACGGTGGGCCGTTGAGTACGCCACAAAAAAACAAAAAAGAAAAAAAAAAAAAAAACCGGAGCGGAACTATAAACCACTGGAAGGCGACCTTGTGTTCACGCGCGTACGCGCACGACACTGTCTCGTTTTTAGCTTCGATCACTGCACCAATGGCGAGGACAAGCGTGTTCTTTCGGTGAAGTATGTATCACCTGCGGGTCGACCGCTAAACACCGACGAGGACGATGCACCATCAACGCGCGGCCATCGGCAGTTGCAGCAGCGAAGAGGTAGAGGAGAGGAAAGTCCATGCCATCGTCCAATATGGCGCCGGCTCGCCCGCAAGCGTGTGGATGCACAATGCACGCGATGTATATCTTTTGTAGGAAATATATTATGGTTATGTAGGACACGACGACCACGTAACTTTGCCTTTTGACTAGTCTGGGACGTGTGATTTGCTTCTTAATCTCAATTTATTGATTAATTACGAAGATACGGAGGGCAATGCACAACCATTCCACTATTCGTCCGCCATAAAACTCACTGTGCACCGTGTATTTTAGTATACCTATATACATGTATGTGTATATATATGTTGCATGTACTGCGCAATGTATATAGTCCACGTGATAAGTAGATAACTTAGGGCTCTATATGAGCCGTATCGGTAGATACATTACCAACAGTGATAACTGCACTTTTCATGGGTGTGATCTTATCGACTGGCTAAGATTGTTCACTTACCGACCATACAATAAACAATTAATTATAATAAAGGTATAATTAACATGTCAGTAAAATGTTAAAATGGAGAATAAATCAAATAGTTATGAAATATTTTTAAGGAAAAAAGTTGATAGAATTTGTTTATTTATTTCGAAAATAACCAAACCAATCAGTGCTGAAATTTTATTTTATTTTTTATTTTGATATAAATAAATACCTCTGAATCACGCGTCTCTCGGCTCAAGAGAGCGCCATTGACTTCTTGTTAATAACTAATGTACGCACAATTAATAAACACTGCGAGCGGTCGCTCTTTGAAAAAAAAAAAAAAAAAAAAAAAAAAAAATATCGACATGTCCCTTATGTACACACGTTGCAAACGATTTCTAAAACGCTTTTATGATACAAAGTTCATTTAGTCACAAATCTCATCCTCGATTACGAGTCGGCAGCCTCGTTTTGCGGCTCTTGTTGCTGCTGAGGTTCGGGAGGCGGAGGTTGTTCCGACGGTACTTCACCGCCAAAGTCTTGTTGCTCGGCTGGTTGAGCCTCCAGCTGTGGCTCGGCAAATTGTTGTGGCTCTTCCGCCGGAGGTTGGCTGTGATGGTGATGTTGCTCTTGGGGAGGCTCAAAAGACTCCTTCGTGGGAGGCTCATAGTGCTCTTGTGGAGGCTCGTAGTGCTCCTGTGGAGGCTCATAACGCTCTTGTGGAGGGGGCTCGTAGTTCTCCTGTGGAAGCTCAAAGGGCTCTTGTGGAGGGGGCTCGAAATGTGGAGGCTCAAAGCACTCTTGTGGAGGAGGCTCGAATCGCTCTTGTGGTGGCTCGTAGCACTCTAGCGGAGGCTGCTCGAATTGCTGTTCTTGAGGAGGTGGGAGAGGCTCGTAACGTTCCTTCGGAGGAGACGATTCAAAACGCTCCTGTGAAGGAGGAGGTTCGAATTGCTCCTGAGGAGGTTCGAAACGTTCTTGTGGAGGCTCATAGCAATCAACACTTTCCTGACGCGGGGGATGATTATCCTGGGCTGGTGGATGCTGGTCCGACTGAGGCTCGGCATAAAAGTCATCCGGGTCTTCGTGGGCTTTATAACCACCCTGTGGCTGTGGGGTTTTTAAAAATTTACAATCGTTCACGTTCTCTTGGGGGAGGGGATCACATGGGATATTTCGAAAAAGAAAGTTTACTCGCGTGATGAAACGTGAAAATAATAATAATGATAAAAATTCATTTCAAGCCAAACTCAACTCCCGTCAGAATTCGCATGGTGGATTTAATCACGTTTTCGCAAATGTCCGCAAAAACTGAATTCGAATGATTTTGAAAAATAAAAATTTCCATTCAATCGACAATTGTTTTGCAACATGGTTAAATTATAAATATGAGAAACAATCAATAAATGCAAAAATAAATATTTTTTACTTTATTACCTCTGATTGTGTATGTTCGGTGGGTCCTGTACTAACTTGCTGAACATGTTCTGCATTTTTCCAATTTTCGTCAGAAAGAGGCACTTCCATTAAATTATCGGGTTTAGGAGGATTGCCGAAGTTAATGATGGGCCTCGAGTCACCTTCCTCAATTGATGGAAGACCACTTCCAAGATGAGCCATTGTGTCTGCTTGTTGCTCGTTAGAAGGACTAGCATTGCCCCATCTAGTATTTTCAGTAAAGTATATCAATTAGAAAATTTATACTTAGTATTTTTTTTCCATACACATAGTTTTGGAAAACAAAATTAATTAATTGATTAATTTTGTATTAGAAACTACTTTGTTGACGATTAGAAAATAATAAAGTTTNAGTTTTGTTTAATTACTTAAAAGTGTAAATAAAACTACGTTTTATCCAATCACTAGATATAAATCATCAAAAGCATACATTCATATATTGTAAAAATAATTGATAACTTATTTCAAAAACTTTCAACGAGAATTAAAATTACAGATAATTGTTTTCGTGATTCTTTACATACAAATGTAATATTTGTAATTTTGCAATAAGGAATTTTATTTGTTAATTAGGGTCCCCTGGAATATTTTAGTCCTTGGTACGAATTTAAATGCAAGAAAATTACTGGGCAAATTATCCAACCTGGATAACTTCTTGTCTTTAAAAAAAATTAAACAATTTTTTAGCTGATTCTCTTAGAGCTTGAACAGAATGTGCCTGCATCATCGTGATAATTTTAAGTTGAACAACCTTAACGTTGTTCAACAAGGTAAGATTTTAATTCGATTGTTTTTAAACATTTATCAATGTTTATTTTATCTAAATTCATATTTTATTTACGGGATCTTCACCTACTGCCATTTTTCGTGGGATATTGACAGGTACTGGAAAATAATAATTTTATTTTCCAACCATCAAAAACCTATCAATAGATTGTACGGTTAATCTTGTGTAATCTTAAAAGTCTAAGAGAAAAAATGAAAAATAAAGAACTAATGTTCAAATGCTAAAATATCCATGAAAAAATATTTATTGAATCACTAAAATTTTTTAAATCCTTTTATTATTGTAACTGCAATGATTACAAATATTGAATATCGTTCGTGCCGAAGTTTAGTAATAAGACAGCGCCTTGTAATATTATCTAATTAAAAAATTTTTTTTTTTTAAAACAAGGGAAAAAGAAAAAGCTATTGCAGCACTTTTCTATTTTGCTTGATTTATTTTTCTACTTGTCATAGAATTCTGCTAAAGACAGAATTGTTTTTCAAGCCAGGTGATAATAAATCTTTCAACTATCGTCTATTACTTTCACTCTCAAACAACTATTTTTTTAAAGATCAACTACTTGTAAAGATTAAAACCAATAGCTCTCAGGCTTTTATATTTTTAAAAATTGAGAGTACGATGTCACGCAACACTCTGCCATGTAATTTATAATTTTTTAATCGCGACTGAAAACAGATCTTATTACTAATGTATTTCTTGCTTCATTTAACATAAGAAACCAACATATTTCATTATATCAAAATGGATATCGATTGAAAAATTTAATTGATTTTAATAAGAAATCATGTAGTCATAATCAATCAATTTTTGCATTTTATGATTAACTTAAAGAAATATCTTAAAAATAAAAACACGTTGCCTTGCTCCTTCTATAACACATTTAACATTATTATACAATGGTATTCAACTATTAGCTTGAAGAAAATATTTTTTTAAAATATAAAAAAGCTTTTCGTTCAAAGTTTACCAAGTTTGATGCCACGAATGTAAAAAAATTATTTTTCAAATTTGCATGTTAACTATCAAAGCTTACTTCACTTATTAAATGTATGCTTAGTATAAACTGTCATAAAAAAATTAAATTTTTCAAATTTTTTGGTCTGCCCGTACACAAAACTTCATAGTTTTAGAAACCAACTTAATTTAAAGGTAAATTTAATTAATGTACATTCATTTTATATTTCCGAGATTTATTTGTATCTATGATTTTATAAAAATGTATTTGTTTGTTACTTTATTAATTAACTTTGAAACATCTTACAGTACAGGCAAAAAAATAATTTTAAGCAAAGAAAAAATTTTCAAGATTAACATGTATCATTTTACAACCACTTTTTTGCCTTGCTATATATACAGTTCTTAAGTGTAATTTGAAACTATGGATGTATAACATAGGAATATAAAAGTTTCTTCAATTTTCGATTTTTTTTTTTTTTTAAACATTAACTCTACAATTATAATCGAATTAAAAATTATTTTTTCATCACTTTGTCAACAGAGCTGAATTGTAAATTCACAAAACTACTCAAAACTCAAAAAGTTTTAATTTAGACAGTAGTTTTAAAATTATAAACAATATCAAATCTAATTTGTCCAGAATATTGTTATAAAATCAAACTTTACAAATCACAACTAAATTAACTTTTGAAAAATTTATTTTCTTCATGATCTTTATTTTTTTTTTGCATCAAATACTTCTTGGAAATTCATCATAATGTACTCAACATTCACGGAATAAAGTACTCAGTATTAGGAAAAATTCTGTAGTGATTCGCGATACACTATTTTAGATTAACAAATTAATAAATCGATCGAGCACTCGTGAAATCATAATCATTAAACAACAAACACTAGTTTCCAAAGAAGTATCGTAACGCCGATCAAACACATGCCATGTATACTATTTTTCTACTTCTTTATCAAACTGTTTATCGAATCGTCAGAGTGGTGCGGAGACATCGTATTATTCTTCTTTTTTTTCGCAAAATAATTTGTATATTGCATTTTTGTAATGAAAATAATGAGAAAAAATAAATTTTCAAACATTATCATCGCTAATTTTATAAATGTGAATATATAAAACAGTACCTTGCACTTGTCACTCAATTTGAGTGCAAGCACGAGTCCTCCATCGCTGCGCCTTCAGATAGTAAGGACGTTGCAGTGCGTGAACACAGGATGCATACGAAGTGCTTTTTCTTTTCTCGCCCGTCACCTTATTTTTGGTGATATTGTTTTCATACAATGTATTTTTCAAAATATTGTCAAGGACAGAATTATTAAGAAAAAAAGAGCAGAGTTTACAAAAGCATATTTCTTCTATTTACACGAAATAATAATGTTTTTTTAAAACAAAATGACTTTAATAGTTATAAAATCAAATTTTCAATAATGGTACGATTAATTTAAAGAAATTAAAACGATGACAGATGTCGGATACTAGACAAAGTAAGTTATTGACTATTAGTATTCTGCTCTTAGATTTTATAATTTAGTTTTAATGTTGTGAAATTTGAGAAATAACCCTGGGTATTTAGTAATTTGGAATGAGAACGACAAGTACAATTTGTTCTTAAGTATACGTGTAAAAAATATTTATTTCCTTATCTAGATCATCCCGTGGTGTTGTATAAAATCTATATACATTAATAAATAAATTTTTCAAAACCGTATCGGCAAACAGATTTAATAACATCAAAATACGCTAATTTCGTTTTTTTTTGTTTTTTTAGTACTTTTTTCGCCACTCACGGGAACGGCACCGGAGCCACGCGGTTGGAGACGGAATTACAATAGCAGTGTTGTCTATCCATTGTCGATAACCAATTAATAATAGTATGGTAGGCGACCGGTAACCGCTAATAGAACGCTGTAGTATACCTATATGTGGCAAAGCAAAACATGTGTAAACTTACCATCTGCTTAAATTAGTATATATAGGTATACTAAGGCGTTATGTTAGCGGTTACCGGTCACCTACAATACTATAGTATATAATAGCTATTATTGTTAATTGGTTATCGACAATGGATAAACAACGCTGCTGTTGTAATTCCGTCTCCAACCGCGTGGCTCCGGTGCCGTTCCCGTGAGTGGCGAAAAAAGTACTTGGTTAGTATATATAGCCGAATTAGTTTTTCAGTCGTCAGAGTTGTGTGCACACTAGCTCTGACCTACCCGAGGACCTACCCATGGGTAGAGGAGGCCTTGGCTTGAGCTGCTACGACGTAATGTCGAAAAAAAAACGTAGTCGCTCGCTGAGACCAGTGAAATTGGGAGTCAGACCCCTGGCGTGTTCATACTTTTTTTTTTTTTTTTTTTTATTTTTT